AGCTGCAGTGATTTTAAAAAAACTGTTTCGAGGTCACCGGCTCGTTTTGTGTGGAGGATGTGTGAAGAGAAGCCGCTGTGAGATCATTCGAACCGATAGTCAGGCTGAAATCAGACACTTTATTCTTTGAATGATGTTTTCATTTTATTGCAAAACTTGTGTCATTATTGCATACACACACATCCTCCGCAAGGAGTCATTTCTTAAATCTTCTCCCCCGTGAGCCCTGCGGCTGGTTGTTCCAGGGCGGCGCCTGTTGGCAATCTCTGGGGAATGCTGAGCCGCTGGTTGCCGGGCTGAGAAGGGCTGTTCTCTGACGGGAGGGGCTGGCGGCGGGGCGGGAGGACACTGCTGCAGCTTTGGAACGTCTCTGCTGCTGCCTCTGGCCACAACGATCCTTCCAGCAGGCGGGGGGGCGAGAGGAGGAGTGCAGCTTCATCAGGTGGCGCACAGTCTCCGACACCTCCTCCGACACCTCCTCCGACACCTCCTCCGACACCTCCTCCGACTTCTTCGATTTTTCCAGCTTGGCCTTGAAATTGGCTCCGAACAGCGCGTCCGTCGTGATGGGGCCCTCCAGCAGGTCCTTCTGCAGTTTCTCCGGCAGGGAGGGGGAGTGACAAAGCCAGGTGGACCGCTGGATCATTGTCATCCAGGCGGCGATGCGAGACAGGCAGACAGCAGAGGAGGCGCACAGGTTGAGGATGACGTCAGATGCCTTGCAGAGTGAGCTCTTTGTCTCCTCAGGCAGGTCTGTTTTCTCCAGCCTCTTTGAGATGCTGTAGGCCAGCAGAGCGACATTGTTGCTCGCTGCGGCCGCCTGGAACGCACACTGGTGAGCTTGGTTGGAGAGTGATGTCACCGTCTGGTCGTGCTTCCCCGGAGGAACTGGACGCCTGTCCAACCTGGACACTTTTGCTCCGAGAATTTCCGCCAGGCTTGGCTCCGGGGGGGTACCGAGGGAAAATTCCGCGCAGTAAACCCCTCCACTCTGGTGACGGGTGCGAAGGTGGAGACGGGCGCTCTCAATCTACCAGTCCGGCTGCAGCCTCGTTCCAGTAGGATGTCACTGCTGGGAAACGAGGCCAGATGGGGTCAGGGAGGCGAGCCAGGGTGGAGCCAAACCTTCCCGCTAGATCATCCGATCTGGGCGGGGGGAGGAGAGGGACGGAAAGTCCCTTCGTGTCAGCCGCCTCCTGGATTATGCCGGGCAGCTCCGAAAGGAGGGCACCGACGGCTGGGAGCGGTGTGGTCGCTGATGCGGAAAGGCCCGGGAGGGGTGAGCATCCGCTCGGCCTCTCACGTTCCAACACTACACTCTCCGGGAGGGAATGAGCAGCGGGGCTGCTGCTGACGTCGCCTGTCCCCCTGTATATACTTGTAAATACAGTACCTGTACCAAGTACCGTACATACCCAGTTAGTAAAAGTTAAGTTCCAGGTATACTGGGCTGTATTATGTACAGTACTGCAACCACTACTTCTTCTTCTTCTTCTTCTTTCGGCTTTTCCCTCGTCAGGGGTCGCCACAGCGAATCATCCTCCTCCACCTCACTCTGTCCTCTGCATTCTCTGTCCTCACTCCAACTACCTTCATGTCCTCTCTAACTGTCTACATATATCTCCTCTTTGGCCTTCCTCTTTGTCTTTTTCCTGGCAGCTGCATTTCTAACATCCTTCTACCAATATACCCACTGTCCCTCCTCTTGACATGTCCAATATAGTACTGCAACCACATATTAACATATTTAAAAAATATAATTTGTTGGTTTGTTAGTTTACCTTTTCTAGCATAAATTGTACTGGTACAAAATGTGTGATTTATGTTATTTTTTAAAATTATTAAATGTATTCAAAAATTATTAAAATATTCTAATGAAGCTGTTGATTCCCCCCCCCAAAAAAAAAAACTATGCATTTATTGTTCAGACATGAAATTAATTTTCAACCATTTAAGACTTTTGTAGCATAATTTAATACAGCTGAACTGTTTTTACATTTATGTTCTTTAAATTTCTCAAACATGTTTATTTTTTTATGACTTAGGAGACACTGGCAACCAACCCAAACACAGAGTTCAGGCTCTTTGAGTCCCGTCAGTATGGAGAAAGTGACCTGCTGTTTAAAGATGCAACACAGTGTTTTGTTCACACGAGCCACATGGACTACCGCTCCATCCTGGGAGAAGAGTTTCACGCTCATTTGGAAACCGTCTTCAATTGCACGTTCTCTGGTAGGATCACATTTGGGACGTGCCAGATGATTGTTGTGCACATTGGATTTCTAACATCGTATTAATTTTCCTCACGACAGATATTTTGGAGTTTTGTAACAAAGACGTGTGCAGCATATTCTAAAGGAAGAAAACAATTCAGTCCCTCAGTGCTTCTTGGTTAATCAGCTTGTCGTCCAGACGAGTTGTTTCTGTGGCTGACTGAAGACGCTGCCGTCATGAAAAGACTGAACTGAATGAAGCTGTAGCTTCTGTTTCACCTGACGTATAACATTTGTGTTCTTCAAAGGTACAAGACATGAAGTAAACTGTGAAAAGCCTAAAGACAAATGTCTATGCAATGTTTTTATGTTACTTGCAATTTACAGATACTCACCTCTTTAGAAACAAATGACAAGATACTATGCATCTATATTATGTGTTATGGCAATGGTGTCAGCAACTAAGTATTTCTTTGTGTACTTATTTGAGGAAATTGTTCATTACATAATTTTTATGCTAAATCCTACATCCTGGATCCTGTGCACCTTCAAAGCAAACATTAATTTTAACTTGGCACCTTTTCAGCTAACTTTATTGATCTTGCTTCCTTAATTAAGTAAGGCTTTTAACATGAAATGTTTTGGGTAAAAGTAACCCAACACTTTATAGGAGCATGTTTTTAAACTTTTAGTTTAAAAACAGTCACTGACAAAAAATGGCAATGGTTAGAGAAATGGTGAACAAAAAGTTACTTAATTTCACCCTTTAGGACACTTACAGTGTGGTGTGAGGACTTTTCTAATACCATAGTAATATCCAGTTTTACAGTAGGAGGTTTTTTTTTTTTTTTTTTTTGGAACTATACTAACGGTATAACAGGACTCCAGTCAGCCATCAGGTGAAAAGGAGGAACCCAGACCCAGACCAGTGGTCATTCCGTATGTTGAGGGGGTATCAGAGAAACTGAGACGTTTATTTTCTAAACATAACATCCCAGTGGCTTTTAAACCCCAAAATACATTACGGCAAAGACTGGTTCATCCCAAAGATCCAGTCCCCCGGCACAAACAGAGTAATGTTGTGTATGCTGTTCAGTGTCAGGAGGGCTGTGATCAGTCGTACATCAGGGAAACTAAACAGCCACTGGCCAAAAGGATGGCCCAGCACAGAAGATCAACATCATCAGGCCAGGACTCTGCGGTCTACACTCATCTCCAGGCCAGCGGTCACTCTTTCAAGGATGAAGATGTTCACATCCTGGACAGAGAGGAACGAGAGGAGTAAAGGAGGCCATCTTTGTGAAAAGAAATAGTCCATCATTAAACAGGGGTGGAGGCCTCCGGGTTCAACTGTTCCCCTCTTACAATGCTGTGATTGCTAGTATCACTCAGCCCTCTGTGAGTAGTAAACAGCCATCAGTGTGCTAATGACCCATTGTTAGGCTGATGGTCCTTCTTGAGCATGTGATCAGCTGGTTTTGGATGTCAGCAGCAAAACTGGTTGATCCACTCTAAGAAGGTGCTATTTAAGAGACTGAGCTGAAAACAGCACCTCAGACTGAGGAAGTCTCTCGGATGAGAGACGAAACGTTTCTAGAATTTTTTTTGCTTTGTTTTGCTTTTTTTTTTTTGAATGTCCAGAGGACCAGATTGAACTTTTTTGGATTTTTCTACCTGGATTATTGAGCATGCATCAAGATATACTAACGGTACAACAAGATACAAATACAAACTCTTATGAAAGGTGTCATAACTACATTTTAAAAAATAGTTTTGTTTTTTTTACAACATAATTTAAAGAAAAAAATTAAATAAGAAATAAAATAAAAATAAAAACACACACACAAAGGAGCAAGGCTATATGAGAAACTTAAAACAATGTTTTTATATCTGTTGTGAGATGATTCTAGCAGTTTTCCAGTTTTTTATCTACTTAACGAAGAATAGTGTGACTTCAAATCGTTCATAAAACAGTTCATAAAACTATTCATAATGTTCATAAAACACCGTAGTGAAGGGCTTATTATCCCCAGAGCCCTATATAAATATGTATTTGCAGTCTCGTTTCCTTCTAAAATTTAATGATAAAATCTTGTTTCACTTTAAAATTTGATGATAAATGTATCAGCCGCTTCTAAAAATGCTTTGATAAAATGCATAGTCTGTGAAATAATCAATAATTTTGTTCGTTACTGCTCAGTAATTACTGAAAGACGTCAGGTAAAGTAAGAAAAGTCGATGTTTGTGTTATGTTGCGCCAGCAGCCGCTCAAACTGACTGACAGCGATGAGCTGTTTGGAACTATTGAGAGCTGCATGAATCACGTGACCGCGTATCGGCGAGTTCAAAGAGTGTCACAACTCTCTCTTTATAGGGCTCTAATTATCCCCCCACGCACTTTTACAGTAAGAGTTTCAAGGGTCTTGACAAATGCAGTACAGTATTTTCAGATGAATATTTTCAGATGACTCCAGCTCCCAGAGATCCACACGGTAGTGTTTGGTGTTACGTTAAAATTGGTATTTCCTGTTTTCTGAGTCTTAAGTTATCGCAGTAGCTTTAACATGTTAGCTAACAGCCCTTCGTAGTTTTTAACAAATATTTATAACCTAAACTAAATTTATATTGCGGTAGTCTTAAAGAAGGTAATGATTTAATAAGTGAATGCTGCCAAAGAACTACATGTAAAACTAGATAGAAGTTAAATAATTGAATTAAAACGTACAACTTCCGCCTCCGTGTGTTTTCGTGTTACTTGTCAGTTCTAACTTGTTTGTCCTGTTGTAGATGAGACTGCCGTGGCGGGCCGTCCCTCCTCCTGTCAGGGCAGCCTCCTCAGTCCCTGCGGGGAAGCTGAGCTTCGTCCCTGCCTGCAGTTCTACGGACGCCTCGTCTCTGGAGCTGCTGCAGGACTTTGTGACTCGGGCCCGGCGACTGTTCGTCATCACCGGAGCGGGTTTCTCCACCGAGTCTGGCATCCCTGACTACCGCTCGGAGGGGGTCGGGCTCTACGCCCGCACCGACAGACGACCCATGCAGCACTCGGAGTTCATCCGCAGTGCGAAGTCCCGCCAGCGGTACTGGGCCAGGAACTTTGTCGGGTGGCCGCAGTTTTCCTCCCACCGGCCGAACCGTGGCCACGCGGTGCTGCGGCGCTGGGAGGACGGAGGGAAGCTGCACTGGCTGCTCACGCAGAATGTAGATGCTCTTCACGCAAAAGCAGGACACAAGCGGCTCACGGAGCTCCACGGCTGCTCCCACAGGTGAGAACAAACATGATGGGAACGACCCTCAACTACCACCACACCAATACTAGCTCAGTATCTGCAAAATCGACTGAATTACACCATTATTCTAAGTTCATTTGGCTGTGGATGACATCTTGAATCAGGTTCCAGAAGTTGACGAGTTGTAGAGGAACATCCAATGATTATTACCTGAAGGTTTCATTAAAATCCATCCAGTTGTTCAGGAGATATTTTACTAACAGACAGAGACTGCTATCAATGTGTGTCGTAAGGATCAGTCTCAGTGACTACCACATAAAAACTTCAATCAACATCTATCAGCTGATTGTGGCAGTCACTTTGAATTGGGCTGACCAAAAGCTGATCAGTTGTACATTTTTTATGGGTTTTTTTTTTTTTTCAGATTTCATTCAAATTCGTTCAGTCGCTCATGAGAAACGTTGCCAACACACAGACATGGCCAGATACACTATTGTCCACATTTGCCTTTTCGTGGCAGGTTTATATTATATATATATATATATATATATATATATATATATATATATATATAT